TTTATGTAATGAAAACGAGTGCTGTAAACGCGAATGGAATCTTCATTACGTGCAATTTTTTTGCACATCGTAATGCATTTGTTGTGACTGCCGTGATTAATTACCACATTATATTGGTATAATTAGTGAGTTATCTAAAAACTGCATTACTGTGATGGTAAAAAGGACCATTCTATGCAAAATTTTAATTGTCTCTTGCGAATGCGGCATTCGACTTTTTTGAAGAATATTTTCACACTATGGCATTCATATTACGGCTAGGTATTTTTATATATATAGCGGTATACGCATAGCGGTACGTTGATAAGGCGCCATTTTTTCGAAATCGTAATGTCGACATGTGGAACACGTGCGATAAATGTCACGTCGTCCGTCTGTCGCTCTCTTTATCAAGAACCCTATTTTATATCTGCTGCACCGGCAGCACTACTAGTCACAGTAGTATCTTCTACCTTGGTCAGCCAATATCTTGCATATTGGCAGCTACTGTTCTCAATTTCCTTCGTATATTTCTGCATAATAATTTTAAGAAAACAAAATCAAATAAAAGTATCAGACATATCACTATTTCATATCTTTCGAGTGAAATTAATCCATAAAGAAGCTTCAGTAGAAATTTTGACAGAATCCAATAAAATTATAGTCGTATTTGACTTTTATTGGATTGAAGTTGTACGCACTAGCATTCCTAAACAAAATTATCTTCTTATTGCTTTTGATCCTCTTGTGCTCACCTTTTAGTCGTTCTCTACGTTTAACCGGGTGAAGTGCCTTGAAAATAATAAAACGCCATATTTCAAGCAAGCTCCTATCGTTGAAGCAGTTATGCAAATTTCAAGAGGGACCTCCTCCACTTGAGATCATAAGAGCGAAGAGCTCTGCCAGTGACATTTTTAATTATTCAATAAAAACTCGATCACGGCTATAGACTTAAAGTGTTCATTGTTACATTAATTTTTCTTTTAATATTTAATACTTGTTCTACAAATAATCTATAAATAATAAATAAACTAGAGTCCAAAATTTTTTGAAATTACGAATCTTTCCAAAGATTTTATATCCACGTCGCTGTTATTTCTTATTTACTCTGTACACTATTGGAAAAAATATATCTGGTTTATCTCTCTCCAATTTAAATTGCAAACGTTTCATTGTGCAGCACTGTAATACAAAGCACGCTCCGCAACTCACCGGATGCGGTCTTCGTAATTCATGCTTCTTTATAAATATCAGATGACCACAGAGACCACGCGCTACTGAATCAGATATTACTATATATATATATATATCTATCTCTCTCTCTTCTACCGTCTTTGATCTTCTAAAACAAAAATTGTTTCGCACGAAGAAACTCAGTACAAATTTCAGCGTTATTTGATCGTTTTTAATTAAAAAAGTTTTCTTTAAAAACTAAAATAATTCTCATTATTATAATACTAATTGTACTAAAGATTAGAGATTTGGTGGCAAAATTTTATAGATGAATGTATATTTCATGGAAATTAATAAACTTTTTGCGCTTGAAGAAATTAATATTTCGAAAAAAAATTAAAATCTTTCCTGTATAGGATGATGTAGCATGTGTTTAATAAACGCGGTTTCTTCGGATGCAATATAAAATTCAATAATTCCGCTCTTTATATAGTGAGGTAGGAGCAATAGAATACGAATCTAATAAATCCGTAATGAGCGCAATCGAAACGGTATCGCGTGACCACATGTTACATTCCTCGCGCCAGAAGCAATTGTGTCCGCAATACCACTTCTCATAGGCACAAATCTATGACATATTCCCGACTGCTCCCCAATTTGCCTGCCCCATGATTGTAAATCACAGCAACAAGTTTCTAACTGGTTGTCTAATGCGAATGCCGATATGTACATACATATCTCCAATTCGGAGATTTTGTTGATCAATTTTAATTTGCTTTTCGATGAGGAAAACAATAATTGGTGTTATTGTTTATCGAAAAATAAAAATCTAGAAAATTTTTAACAAAATTCTTTTTACGCGCCCGCGCACACACACACACGCGCGCACATTAATTTTGGATAAAATTAAGAATTAATTTAGAAAGTAAATGTTTTCTGTACAATCTTTTTCCTGCATATACAACTCGGCCGACATATCTCAAGAGTGAAATTAGCGATCGACTTGTCATTCGATTAACCGTTTTCTCTGATTTCCAACTGTGCCGTACTTTTTCTGGCTTTTCACCCCGCATTGTGGCAATTACCGGCATGCCGGCGAACGGCAGAGTCAGCTAAACAAAAGACCGTTAAAGCTATCCCCGATATCCGCATCCTCCACTTCCGCTCGATCTCGTTTATTTCGTATCAACCTTTTCCATCAGCTTCATCAAGTGTTTCTTTTGTGCCGCCTTTCCTTTCTGATCAGAATAAATCGCACAATTTTACGATTGTCTTATCTCTATAATAGTACTATTAAAAAGTCGCTGCAGAGTCCGAATCGATTTTAAATAATGTATCACAATCATTATAAAACTTTACTACTTCTAACAATAGTGCTCTTTATACACATTAATTAATAGATAATTAATAAAAATAGTTTGATCTAGTATGATTGAAAGTGCATGCGGAATATTTCGTATAATTATAATTACTTTTTAAAATCATCAATGATAAATTCTTTCCGTGCAGAAATCGAGACAAATGAAGCGTAAATTTTAAAGCAGGGGTCGATTTGGTCGACTCAATCGTAAAAACGAACGCGTGTAGGCATGAAAAGGGGGAGAGTTTAGAATCGAGCACGAAGTGGACTCGAGGCACTTCAGAGTTAAATGGATCGACCCGTATGAGGCCGTTGCCAAAGTTACGTGAGCGCGCTCACGGTCAAAGCAGGGCTCGCTTATCTCTTTGGTTATTCAATTATGACAATTTGTTCCGAAGGAGGGTATACGTCCCGCACACCGGCACGCTTTGTACCGGTGCGGCGGCGGAGGCCGTTCCGCGATAAATTGAGCTCTCAAGAAGGTCTGCGATTGCCGTATATATGTGAATCGGTGTGGAAAAGGTGAATGGGCTTGCAGCAGTTCTGATGGCGCTAGAGAAGAAAGGACGGCGATGGGTTCGCCTCTCTTTCCCCCTTCTCTCTTTTTTCCCTATAATGTACGCACATACACACGCTTGGCCTCGATATGCAAAATTGCTGAATATGGCCGTAAAACGCAGGCGGCGTGTATGCCAATATGGTGAGAGTATGGGAGACCGAATTCTCTCTTTCTCTCTTCTCTCTGCACAGTCGAACGACAAAGAATGGAAATATTAACGCTAACGTTTCCACGTGTTCCAGATATAGCATTTTTTAAACTTTGTGAGACCGGTTTAGATAAAGATGTCTTTTATTTTATTAGATTGTTTGTTAAATTATTGTTTTGGTTATCGTAATGATTATAATTAATTCACAGTTAAATGATAAATAAAATAACGTATAAATCGCATAAATCAAACTTGACTTTGCTATTGAGAGACTCAAAATTTTTGCACGTTTCAAGAAAATGACGATTTTCCGTTCAACCATTTTCAAACAATCGTTCCTCCGTGTCGATTGAAATGTCTCATTTCCTAAAGTGAACCAATTTCCGCGCAGTTCCGAACAATCGGGACTAAGACGTGAACGAGATCGTGATTTGCAAACGATTGAATTCAAATTATGCACATCTTGATAAAGTGGCAGAACAAATTCGCCTTTCTCGCCTTACTTACTGTTTCTTACAAAGGAGTTTTTTTTCTTCGCTTTTCGGGTTTCGCATTACTTCGGCATATTACAAATGCGATACGATTCATAATGAGTTATTCTTTGTTTCTACGAATAATGAAATGGAAATATCTACATGAATTTTTTAACATCACAGAAAGAGCGATCAAAGTTATATTATAACAATCTTTAACATAGATCCGGTTTCATGAAAAACATTGAATGTATAAGATAGAAATCAATATTAAAAATAAGATTAACTCGAGATAAACAGGCCGCGCGCGTTCGAGTAAATATATTGATAATGTGCGATTAATTTATGACATTAACTCTTAACATATATAGCTCTTGAGATAACGATATTTATCATTTTAGCTGCAAACGTCGCATTCATTCTTTATTTTATATCTCTATCTACAGATTTCTGTGTGAATATTTTTATCGTAATTTATAGTTTTTGTGTCACGATAAGACCGAAACACACAATTCTTATTCAATTTTGCAACGATATTCAGATAGTACCGTCTAAGCCATAACGATCAAATATGATTCTTCCGCTCTCGCACCTTTCCACCTTCCGCCTCAATCTCATTTTACGCCATTTCTACAATATCATTTGAAAAAAAAAGATCAATATTGTTCTTTGCGTGATATCTTATTGGTCTTGTCGAAACGTTTATGAGAAACGATGGCGTTACCAGAAAAAGAAAGATTTTATGTTCGTCTTCGACAGAACGGAAAGTATAGCGATGAAGCGAGAGCGGAGCCGACGAGACAGAGGTAGAGGTAGAGCTAGCCGTTGTGTGAAAGCGTCAGCACACACGTTTGTATGGTGGGTTGCCCGACAATAGGCATTGTGCACCCGCCATAACCAGGAACCGAACGCGACAGCACCACGCCGGCATTGTCCGAGTGTCAGCCAGCATCCTTCTCCTCTCTCGCTTCCTCTTACTCCACCCCAACTCTCTCGTGCTCGATCGTATATTTCGTTTATTTCGTTCTAATCTTCATAAATCCCTCCCTTTCTCATTTACTCAATCATACTTTTACATTTATTCAACTCCCCTTCTTCTTAGCATTTCAATTATGATTTGCAGCTGCTCAAATGTGAATCGCTATCCGTAATCGTGACGTTTACACTTGAGCCACACTTGAAACATTCCACGAAATCGTAGCTTTATCGCAATAGTATTACCTGCGCGATTGATAAGGGTATGAACGTCAAGAGAGGGTAGGAGCAATATAGCGATTTAAGTAGGCTGATAAAGAGAATCCATTAATCGGGTATATAAGGAGATCTTAGGCAATCGAATGATCACTTCATGCGATTCGCATAGTGTAAAGTGTCAAGAAAAGACCCAAATTTCTTCAAACGACAATATGAAAGGTAAGTTTGTTATTGCTAGTAAAATGTGATCGGCATTTTATGCAATGAGCAAAAGATTGATCGTTACGATGTAACAAATATATAATATTATTATTTGCAGTAATTAATTCAATATTTTTCATCAAATTAAGATTTATAATGTGTGTACTATAAATACACAGTTACAAAAATTTGTTTCTCATTATATTTTACGTTAAATTTGCATTTTTGCAAAATAATTATCCAATTCAAGACAAGTGATAAAATGATTATTTTTTATAATCTTCTTAATCTGTTTGACATATTTCAGCTACACTTTATCTCGCACTTGTGGTATGCCTGGTGGCTACATTTTACGCCCAGGCTCAAGAGGTCACATGTCCAGAAGATTCAGATGATGACGAAAAAGAAGCCATCATCATACCACACCCTTCCAACTGTAAACATTACTTTGTTTGTGACCATGGCCGAGCAATTGTGATGGAGTGTCCTGAGGGCTTACATTTCAATCCCGACAAAAAAGTGTGCGATTTTCCAGCATCGGCTGGCTGCAAAGCTGAAGGTTATTAATTTACATCTATGACATCGTAACTGCCAACAACGATAAAATAATAAATAAATATTGCTTTCCCATGCGATCACCACACGGCTTGTACAAACGACTTTTATGTACATATTTTTCCTAATTAATAAATATATATTCTTTATTTAAAATTGTATGTCGTATTTATTTTAATTTAATCAATCATTATTAGTAAACGTAACACAATAATAGCACAGAAGAAATAAAGAAAATTCAATATAACGATAATTATTAGTGATAAATAATTAATTTTGACATCGGCAATCGCGTGTGTAATTTTGTTAGCTCTAAATATATTTAATTCGGCACAGTTATAAAACATGACGCTTTTTGTGCTATGTATAAAAAATATTTTATTAAAATTTAGTAATTACAAAGTAAATTGTCGTTTCAACGAATATTATCCCACATAAGAGGTTTCGCGGATAGATTTGGACGCGAAAATGAATTCATTTGCGGATGTATTGTATCTTTGGAAGTGCGATGGACGTAGATGTTAATTTGTTTTTACGAGCGTAACGCAGAAACTATCCCGGTGTATGCTGAAACTAAACTCAAGTATTTGGCGTTGGGATACGTATGTATATCTCGAATCAAGTGATAGCAGAGATCTTCCCGCTCTCGGCGAACATTGCCGCAATTTAACAGCAACAGTTTAACGGGCAGTTTGTATTGTCAAACTGGCACTCGTGTGCAAGTGCGTTTTACGGGAGATGTAACGGGCGGCGGCAAATGAACTTGGAATAGTAATTGCGCGCATATGGATGAGAATGGGTAGGCCACGAGAAATTTACTACTTAATCGTTCGCACTTTTACGGAATTGCTGCATTTAGAAGAACTCTTCCACGCAATGACGGTCGTTTGGAATAAGTACTTCGCATCAAGTTAAAAACTTCCAAATATTTCTTGTCGCGCAACCTGAGTTAAACTTACATTTTATTGTCTGCAAATTTTTCAAGTATAAAGGATCTTTATTTTCCATTTTTATATTTAATCGACAATAAACTATTTGCGACGTAGACAACTTGTATGTATTTAAATTAAAATATTAAAAATTTTATTGTGATAAAAAATTTATATATTGGTAACAAGAGCACTGATTAAAAATTTCGTAGAATTTCGAATGATCGGGATACTCCTATCGTGTGTGGAACAAGAGGATGACAAACCGTGAAAGAAACGAGGATAAGAAGATTAAGGTGAAAGGAAGTACACGGGAAGGATAGCAGAAGCAAGGAAAGACCTCATCACAGAGCGGTGACACTTAAATTCCCTATTTCGTTTTGAACTCAATGCTCCAACAGAGTTAGTCGCCTACATCTACGCCGCGGCGCGCTAAGTTACATCGCGCCGATGTCGCTCTCCGTCCGTCAGTTAATGTCGTATTCTCCTTGCAAAAAGGAGAATACAGGAGAAAGAGGCGCGTAAAAGGAAAGGTACGAAGGAAGCGGCGGACAGAGAGCACTGCGGGGGCGAACGGATCGAGACTTCTTATCGGTGCGAGTCAGCTACCGGCTGCCAGCCAGCTCGCTTACGCGCATCTCGTATGTTCCTTTTCATCTCGCGTCCCTCCTCCTCGCACTCTTGTCGCGCTCTCTCGCCCGCAATGCCTTTTTCTTCCGTCACATCCGCCACCCGGCTTCTCGCTTTACTTCTGCCATTTCCCACCTTGACACTCGCCGAAATGTATCCGGTCGGTGGAGGCGCCGACGAGGGCTCTGTTAATGGATTCTATTCTGTATCAAATTGGAAACCGATTGGTTGCCGTCGTTGTCATAAGATACGCTGCGAGATAGGTGTGTACCGATGATCGATCCGGTAGCGTTTCATCGCTCGTCATTTTCGCCGAAGCGAGAGAGAATCTATAATTGCCGAGACACTATTCTTTATTCGCGCTGACGAATATGGATGTCTGGACTATTTTGATCCTGTTTGTCTGGATATTCATTTTATTTTAGGCACTCAAAGATAAAATAACACGACTGCACGCTGCTGTTAAAACAAAAAGATTCTTTGACATCGTCGTATTTCAGTGATTAAGCCGTAATTGTATAAAAAACTCATGATATATATATACATTTGTTTTTCGTAGAAAATGTGAATGCAATTTATAATTACGCGCTCATATTTCACGATAAACTGCATTTAACTTTTCCCCATTTACGTTCTTCTCCTTCGTTCGGAAAATAAAGGATATTTGGAATACATAATCCAATGTTTAATTTATGCAGCTTGTTTTACCAGGTGGTACGTTCTGTCAAGGCATTATGCGCCGCAAGTGGCGAGGGTAAATTAATAGCCAGGCATTTTTCTAAGTAAGGAAGATAGAGAATGTAAAAGTGAGGAAAGAAAAACAAAAGAGAAAGAGAGGTACAGTGATTATAAAATGCTCAGATGGCGTGCAAAGAACGCGAAGGCCTCCGTTGCACGAGACGCGCGCCAAGCTTAGGCTTCGCCCGTCAGCAGATTACAGTTTTGTTGCGTGTTTCCTTGGACGTGCACATTTATTACATGAGCTTCTAATATTTTTTATTGAATATCCATTATCACTTTCCCATCACTGACATCATATTGTGCGTCTCTTCTCGCTCGTGTTACGTTTGCTATTAATAGCAAATGTAAAATAAAAATTATAATTAAACATTTTAGAAAAATTAAAGATTCCAACTCATCATTACTCTCATTATCGATAAACACAGACAACACGATGTAATGCTCTTTCAAATAAAAATAAGTTATATCTTCCGCCGGACGCAATTTGGCTCAAACACGAAATGATCAACTATCAGAACATTTTGCACAATGACTTGTGTCGATAAAATTCGATGTGTGTGTACTTTATTTATGATGCATGCATACATATGCATATATATTTATATTGAATGTACGAATTGTATAGAAGTTAAGAAGCGATACTATAAATCTAGACTCTCGCGAAGTAACGTATTCTGAAAGAAGAATGTGCTGAAAGCAATATAAGAATCCAATGCGTGCTGCAGTAACGTTGCACAAGTTCGAATAAAATGGCACTTGGAAGAATGCAAAAATCTTCAAAATTGCTTTGTGCAATGCAGCAACGAAAATTATACTTTAATAAATGGTACTTCCGGATTACGTAAATGTTTATTACGTTCACACAAGTTACATGGATAGGAAATATTAAAGCTTTCCGATTTCTTCATCATCGTCGTAGCATTCGTGCAAAATGAAAACTATTAAGATAAAGAATAGTGTTTTGCAGATACAAATTTTGTAAATAGAGTTTGTAAACAATTTGCATAAAAGAATAATTTTTGAGAATTCTTTAGCGACGTAAATCGTCAAAAACATCATTTTTTGAAAGCCACGGAAATAGCAGAAAATTCTATTTTTCCATTCTAATAGCTCGTGATAATTCCTAGCACGTATCTTTACAGGCATTTCTGTTTCTTTTCGGTTCGATTGCGAAAAATCAATTTGCGATGTATCGAATGGGTTATTGGAAAAATGCGAATGCGTTGAGCTTTCTCGCACTTATTGTCGGAGTTTTTGAATTGCGAACATACATGCCTAAAATTATGAGAGTTTGGCAGCATATATTTCTGCAATAACTTTATATTATGAAGTGTACAGCTTTTTTGTTTGTTATATTACGAAAATGGAAGAGTAGAGTCGGCCAAACGGAGCAGACGTCCTGCGGTGTCCCCGAGGAAATCAAATTATCGATATGTGGAGCCGATGCGCACACGTATATATGACGAAGTGCAAGCTGAGCACAGGTGGCCGACTGATATTGGTTTTGCTTCCGGATTTGGCGGACACCCCTTATAGCGGTAGACGCAGGCGAGACTCGCCACGAAGGGCAATTACCCCACTAAATATTCACAAGTTCATTACAAGCGGAGTTGGACGCATTCACCCTCTTCCCTTCCGCTTCGCTCTCTTACCCTTTACCTCTTGTCTTTACTTTCCCGTTCCTCTAACACAAGTAACGTTCTCAAAATAACCTCTGTTCCAGAAAGCACGGTGGCATCTCTTTGCTTATGCTTGCAAGTAAACCGTCGGATTTGATTTCGAGAAACTGACGTGTGAAAATCATTCTTCCGCGAACACAAATCCTTACCGACTACAATAGTTAAGATACCGTTGCGATTGTGCGATAAACAAGAATGTTGTAAATCATGATATATCTTGCAAATAGTAAAAACGTTGATTATAAGGCAAGCATTCTGTGCAACTGTTTAATTATGCCAATTTCTCGAGCAAATTTACATTAATATTCGAGATTTAAATAGTTAAAAAAATTTATTTTTTTCTCAAACGGTATTATTTTATTTTGCTGCTTTTTTTGCCGTTTATATTCACTGCTGCCGTCTTGTCTATTGAAAAATAATATAGACAATATCAAAATTTATTAATAAATATGATTAAGATGATAAAATCAAACTTTGATTAATCGTTTTTATCTAATCGACCGCTTAATTGATAAATATTATATATAATATATAAATAATACAAATCGCTATAAATTAATGCTCATAAACAATGTGTCAAATCTAGTTTAAGTGTAATAAGATTTTGAATATATCGTAATAGCTTTATATCCTTTTATAAATCGAATAGTTTGATACCTTAATATGCCGCTGCCGCGGCATTCAAATGTTTCATCGCAGTGGAGAACGATATTGAAAAATTGTAAAATGACTCTTTTATTTCAATCAGATAGGGATTAACTTTATACGACTTCCGTGTATCAGGTTTTTATGTGACACCCTTTATATGCAGGCATAGCTGGGAACCCAGAGCGGTTCTCATAGTCAGTGCGCTGCTCGGACGCGCTGCGAGGTTTCCGACAAAAAGCTCATAAAAATTTAATAGATCGTTCGACCCGAATGCAACGGCAGGCTTTTTATGGCTTATAAATGTTTCGTTTGACCGAAAACAATTTTCTCGGTTCGGAGATCACGGCGTAAACTCGCAACGGCATTGGTCAGCTTAATACGTCTTTCTGGAAACATTACCTTTTTATCTGGAAAACTCGTAAGAGTACATCATTTGAGGTCAATTCAATATTAATTGCATAAAATGTATACGTCAGTTTCAATACGTTGATTTATATATTATTGCTATTTTAATAAAGTGCTGAAATAG